ATTAATGTTTTCCTTTGTGTCTAATTAATGTTTCCCTCTGTTTAAAATTTCCTTATGTGTTTAATCATTGTTTCCGTATGTGTTTAATTAATGTTTTCCTTTGTGTCTAATTAATGTTTCCCTCTGTTTAAAATTTCCCTATGTGTTTAATCATTGTTTCCGTATGTGTTTAATTAATGTTTCCCTTTGTGTCTAATTAATGCTTTTTCAAGTTCGAATAGACAAAAGTTTTGGCTTGTCGGTTCTTGAAATTTCTGGAAAGTGGTTCTCTCAAAAATAATTTACCTCAAAATTCTTCTTTTAGATAAATACATGATTCTCTATTAATACTTCCATAAAAGAAAATTTTACTAAATTTTTAAATTGGACCTGAAAGAAAACCCAGACCTCAAGTGGAATATACATACAATCCATCGCTAAGAATGAAGGAAAAAATGGACGGTTCCATGTAGCATTCTACTAAGTACATGACTCCTACTACTATTCTCAACCTTGACAAGAGTCAGATCAGGACGGAAATGGAGTCAGTCAGTTGTGTGCCATACGTGATACACGCGTAGGCGATCATGTATCTTTCGATACATGACTGACGCGGTAGATTTTTGTCCCGCAGTAGGTTGCCACTTGTTTCTGCTGTAGACCAGTTGCCATCCAAGGCTATAGAACCTGGTCTGTCCCGCTGTTTACCCCGAGCTGAAGGGAGAAGAAGAAGACGATTCATAGCTTTCCCAAGGGTGTTAGCACGTAAGTGAATGTAATGGATTCGACTGGAATTCGAACTCGGCCCTCTGTTTCCTCAATCCGATCCGCTATCCATTACTCCACCGTGAAGTATCTTTGTCATATTTGGGTGGAAGCTGCCCAGTCCACACTTTCTCGTCTCGATAGAGTACAAGCGCCTGTAAATATGATCACGTCGTCGTCACGTGGGCGATGTTGTGAAAATGTATTCCTAAAATTTGAGTATTTTGAATGAAAAACGAAAAGAATTTTATTTTGATCTAAAACTTATATGTACGTTTGTCGAGCATTAATCTTGCTAGAAAAGGGGAAATATTAAATAAGCCAGGTCTAGTGTTCACCGCGCGACAAACGTAACGCTGATCTTATAAAAGATTTCAGTTATCTGTTTGGATCGGTATTGCTTTTATGTCCATCGTCTTTTTCATGTTGAATTGTATATGGTCTATGTTAATTATGTTTTATGAATATGTCCTGAAGATGGTCTATTAGACCGAAACGTCCGACGTTGATATTAAACATTAAAACAGCATAATCGCATATTAGGATTTTTGTTTGTTTTTTCAGTATATTTTTCTTCATATATATATATATATATATATATATATATATATATATATATGTTGATAAAATAAATACGCAAAAAATTCGCCTTTCTCCATGTCGGGCGTAGGTAGCTTAGGATCGATCTGGTTTCCATCCCGGCTTGAAGCGATCGGATGTCTAGCCACACTGATGAGTCTGTCTGTGGATGACGATGTTAGCTCCCGAAAAATAATTCGGTCGAGCACTGCGAGGGGAAAAGCGCGAATTTGTAAACAGTCAGTATTACTGCTGATAATGCAAGACTCTCCAAACCTGATTGAGTTGTCCAGGACACTGCCGTGTTTATGATAAAATAAATACGCAAAATTTCGTCTTTCTCTTGGAGCATGCAGTGACGCAACGCTAGAGTTGTATTTTGAAAATTTTAAATCAGAATGTTTTTTAATATAATTAATTATATTAATTAATTAATTGCATTAACTTAATTAATTAATTACATTAACTTAATAAATTATATTAACTTTACTGAATTATTCTTTGTATGACTACTTCTTTGTAATATTAATTATACTGCACCAATTAATATATATATATATATATATATTCTTTTTATAGATACATATATATATATAAAGTTTTTTTTTAATAAACACTATTTATAACATTTATTGGCCTGAATGTCCGAGAAAATTTTCATAGAAAATATTCGTCCTCCGACAGGAACCTGTATCCTGTACGGAACCGTCATTTAGCCTGACGTGCCTTAACCGATATGGCCACAGAGGAGCGTTCGATTAGCAAGTTAGAATTTTACAGCGCCTATAATTTATATATATATATATATATATATATATATATATATATATATATATATATATATATATATATATATATATATGAATATATATTAATATATTATATATTAATATATATTAATATATTAATTATACTGGGCCATTTAATAGATTTAAAAGGACCAATCTGCTGTTCGAAATTTGGGAAAACTACTGGGACATCACTCTAGTTATTGGACCATTTCGTCCATGCCACGTTGACTGACAAACAAAATTCGTTGAAGTACCATATTGCTATATAAAAAAAACGTTCTGATTTAACATTTTCAAAATACAAGTCTAACACTCCCAAAACTTTTGGAAATTTTAAAAAACATCTTTTTATTTGTATGAAATTTCTGACAAATTTTGTGCGCTAATCATAAGTGGCATTTAAGACCCGCTAGTGATTTACAAAGGAGGCCACATATGAAGCAAGGGTAAGGATTGTGGGATGAGATCACTGTTAGATTGGCTGACCTTTTAGCAAGAGAAAATATGATGAAAGAAATACTAGTGAACAATGAATAATAATTGACAAGGCTTCATCTAAGAAAATCAGACAACTTAAGACTATTACTACTTGGTAGAAAAGCAAAAGAAATAAGATGAAAGAAATACTAGTGAAAAATGAATAATAATTGACAAGGCTTCATCTAAGAAATTGAGACAAATTAAGACTATTACTACTTGGTGGAAAAGCAAGAGAAATAAGATGAAAGAAATACTAGTGAAAAATGAATAATAATTGACAAGGCTTCATCTAAGAAAATCAGACAACTTAAGACTATTACTACTTGGTAGAAAAGCAAAAGAAATAAGATGAAAGAAATACTAGTGAAAAATGAATAATAATTGACAAGGCTTCATCTAAGAAATTCAGACAACTTAAGACTATTACTACTTGGTGGAAAAGCAAGAGAAATAAGATGAAAGAAATACTAGTGAAAAATGAATAATAATTGACAAGGCTTCATCTAAGAAATTCAGACAACTTAAGACTATTACTACTTGGTGGAAAAGCAAGAGAAATAAGATGAAAGAAATACTAGTCAAAAATGAAAAATAATTGACAAAGTTTCATTGAAGAAATAAAAACAATGTCAATAACCAGAAGTGATATAAAAGAAATATCAAATGCGTTGACAATTTATATGTATGTATGTATTTATATAACTTTTCTATATATGAATGAATATATATATATATATCTGTGTGTGTCTATGTGTGTACTTGCATTGAAGTAGGATTGTTACCCAGACACACACACACACTTATATATATATATATATATATATATATATATATATATATATATATATATATATATGTATGTTTATATATGTATGTATATATATATATATATATATGAATAAAGACAAAAGTAAAAGAAATATATTTTATTGTCCTTTTTAAAGTTTTTGTTATATCAGAAAATTTAGATTTCTTCATATATATATATATATATATATATATAGAGAGAGAGAGAGAGAGAGAGAGAGAGAAAGAGAAATAAATAATAAAAGAGAGTGAGATAAATAGCAATCCATCTATCTATCTATGTCTTTTCATTATCTATCTATCTTTTGTTGTTCAACATGTAAATTCCTTTCGAATATAGGGCCATAACCTAAAGCCTTTCGACATATCTATCTATCCCCCCACACACGTTTATGTGTGCGTGTGTGTATATAAAAAGGAACCATTTTGAAGGCAATTTCTGTATATAAACACATATAAATCACCATCTATTTATTCATAAATCTTAATACCTTATATATATATATATATATATATATATATATATATATATATATAGATAGATAGATAGATAGATACGTGTGTCTGTGAGTGAATAGTTGTTTAAATGCGTCGCCGTGAAATAAATAGATGTGGCCTTTATAAGTAAGTAAGCACTTTTAATTCAAGTTCTTATGGTGCCTCTTGTCGAAGAGAAAATGAAGGAAAAAAGACGCAACTATAAACAAACAAACAACATGATGACCCGAACTCTCGATCCATCTCACTGCAAATAGTAAGGCCGAGGTGTTTAGCGAGGGCGGAGGTGGGGGGTTGTTGTGCGTAGGAAGGCGGGGATGGGGGGGAATGGCTACGTAAACCGGAGTGTAAAGAAGAAAGCTAACATGGAAAATGGCCGCTAATATTCTATTTGACTGAAACACTCGCCAATCGGCCATGACAAATCTGTTCTTTTTCCCGCCCAAACGGCGAGGCGTTCGCTTTTTGTTGTTCGGGCGAACGAACGGGAATCTTGGAGCAAATATTTGTGTAGTCTTGCCCAGTGTTTTTCCATTTTCTCAGAGATCTTGAAAATGGATGGACACACACCAAACCACACACACGTGCACTCCACCGCCACGCTCGGGGCGTATATTTGCCAAATATTGCAAACTCAGCCGCTAAACTGATTTTTCCTGTTCTCTTTCTATCCTTTATTTTCCTATGTACGTCTATTCCGTGGTTGAATATTATTAAACTCTCAATACGTGCGCCTCACCCACACCGACACCCCAGTTTACCTATGCCCGCATCTATTGCTCGACCAGGTTATTAATCTATCATACGCACATATATATATATATATATATATATATATATATATATATATATAATAAAAATGCGTCAAGTATTTGAGGACGATTCTTTAGAAACTCATAAGTGAGCAACTTTAGCTATTGTCACTTTTTTTGTCGGCTCCGGCATAGAAGCTTCGATTCTAACGCAGATGAAAAATCCTATATTTCTCTTAGCTTCACTCGCCATCCACACATATTCGGATTTTGCAACCTTATGGTATGATGTCAAGTACTTTGTGATTAAAGATAATTTTTAAAAAATAGCTCCGGGTCTCTTGCAATAATGGGTATTCAGTTGCCTCCTAACACCAAATACGGCGAGGTATCATCGAGGTAAACTTCGAAATATCAAGGACTTCCTTCTGCTATCATATCTATCTATCTACCTATCTAATGTTATTCTTTTATTTATCTAACTAATCCTGATACCTATCTACATAATCTATCTATCTGTCTCATTACGTTCATATCTATCTATCTATCTATCTATCTATCTATCTATCTATCTATCTATCTGTCTCATTCCGTTCATATCTATCTATCTATCTATCTATCTATCTCATTCCGTTCATATCTATCTACTTATCTAATGTTATTCTTTTATTTTTCTAACTAATCCTGATATCTAGATAGATATCTATCTGTCTCATTCCGTTCATATCTATCTATCTATCTATCTATTTATCTATCTATCTCATTCCTTTCATATCTATCTCATTCCTTTCATATCTATCTATCTATCTATCTATCTATCTATCTATCTATCTATCTCATTCCGTTCATATCTATCTATGTACCTATCTATCTAATCTTATTCTTTTATTTATCTAATCCTGATATTTATCTACCTAATCTATGTATCTATCTATCTCATTCCGTTCATATCTATCTATCTATCTATCTATCTATCTCATTCCGTTCATATCTATCTACTTATCTAATGTTATTCTTTTATTTATCTAACTAATCCTGATATCTAGATATATATCTATCTGTCTCATTCCGTTCATATCTATCTATCTATCTATCTATCTATCTATCTATCTATCTCATTCCTTTCATATCTATCTCATTTCTTTCATATCTATCTATCTATCTATCTATCTCATTCCGTTCATATCTATCTATGTACCTATCTATCTAATCTTATTCTTTTATTTATCTAATCCTGATATTTATCTACCTAATCTATGTATCTATCTATCTCATTCCGTTCATATCTATCTATCTATCTATCTATCTATCTATCTATCTATCTATCTATCTATCTCATTCCTTTCATATCTACCTATTCGCATTATTTTATCTATTTATGCATCACATTTAAGCGTTATTTTTAGTGGATACCCATATTTGAGTAGACGATCCGCATATTTATTAAACAGTATATTTCTTTATTTTCATCTACCGGCCTGAATATTCGAGAAAACTTATTCAAGTAAAATTTGCACCCTTAGATAGGTAACAAACCTACGTCCCTCAAGAGGGAAGAGGGGGCCATTGTTTAGCCACGAAGGAACAGATGGACAGGCGAAGTCAATTTCATGACTTTCAAGCGAAATGATACACTATCAATTGACCTCCTGTCATACATTTCTCAAAGTTTTTTTTTCATATCTCCCCATAGTCTATTTTTCCAAATATAAACAAAGAGAATTTTTTTTTTAAAGGGGATTTTTTTTCTATTAATCCGATAGTATTTTTACCACCGTGGACGTTATTTTTATTTCGGTACTAGCAGCATGGCCCGGCGTTGCCCATGCTTTATTCAAAAATCGTACGACTCATACAGCAATCGCTATCACTTGACTTAAAATATTTTTGCCCTTCCCTGACTTTAAAGGAGTGCCCTTTGCCGTGCTGATGTTGCTACATGCCTTACTTCCTGCCTATCTCACACTGCGAATTTTTTCTAAGCTCTATACTAAACATTAAAACCGTTACGAAAAAAGAACTAAACAAAATGAACACAAAACGATCAGCTTTAAAAAAGGACTCATAACTGGAAAAACCGAATGAAAAAAGAATGTTAACAACAAATACTTTTTCACACCCAACCCAGTTCTGCGGAATCAGAATCAACGTTGAGTTTAAGCAAGCGAATGAGCCAATTGGAGTAAAGTGCCATGCAGATTTGAATTTTTTCACTTGTGACGAATGCAGCTATCGATTTTTTTGCATGCTAGTTAACATTCATGTCAGTCAGCTGTTGGCTTTCACGCTAGCCAATAGAATCTTCCTGCCTATTTGTGGCAGCCAGCTATAGGCTCCCACTCTGGCTAGTAGAAAATGGCCACAAACTACATGAAAACTACTGTAGAAGCATGAAAAAAAATCGATTATTTCCAGTATCAATGGGAGTTGGGAAATGCAAAGTCGGTCTTGGCCTTCCCGCTAACTTGGAGCATATGCATGTAAATTTTGGTGCAAATCCGTCAAAAATAGCAACCGTGCATTCATCACACACACAAACACACACACACACACACACACACACACACACCGACCGTGCCTTTTATAGATAGAGATTCATATGTGAGTAGGCCTTGCGTTTATTTATCAAATAGTATATTTTTTTTATTTTCACCTACCAGCCTAATATTTGAGAAATCTTATTAAAGAAAAAATTTGCGTACATGAGAAATTTTGCTTGAAAATCTTGAAAAGAACTTGACTATACCTGACTGACTTGTCCTTCGTGGCCAAGCTGTAAGGCCCGCCTGTACACAAGTTCGATCCCTGACGTAAATTTTCTTTAATAAGATTTCTCGAATATTCAGGCCGGTAGGTGAAAATAAATAAATATACAATCTAATGAATTATCACCATAAACAGATAAAAATTTTTAATTACCACTCATGATAACAATTAAATTTTTTTAATTACCACTCATGATAACAATTAAATTTTTTCAATTACCACTCATGATAACAATTAATTTTTTTTAATTACCACTCATGATAACAATTAATTTTTTTAATTGCCACTCATGATAACAATTAATTTTTTTCAATTACCACTCATGATAACAATTAATTTTTTTTAATTACCACTCATGATAACAATTATTTTTTTTAATTACCACTCATGATAACAATTAATTCTTTTTAATTACCACTCATGAAAATAATATTTTTTAATTACCATTCATGATAACAATTTATTTTTTTAATTACCACTCATGATAACAATTAAGTTTTTTAATTACCACTCATGATAACAATTAATTTTTTTAATTACCACTCATGATAAAAATTAATTTTTTTATTTACCACTCATGATAACAATTAATTTTTTTAATTACCACTCATGATAACAATTAAAAGTAAAAAATGAAAAACGATCAAGCTAACCGGTTTCGAACCTCGCTCAAAAGAGTTAAATTGAGGATAATAACGGTATAATCATCAATAAAAAGATGGTCAATATGTAGGGGAAAGATATTCTTAAATGGAAATTAAATGGAGGTCCAAGGCAAAATCATTCTGTTTAGATAATGAAGGGTTCAAGGAAGAAATGTGGTAATTTGAGTGGAACTTACTGAGCACGGAAAACGAGTCCACACTAAAATTAACGACATTATTATGGATATTTATAATGTGATCCGCGACGGATGACCCGGATGTCTTGGTTAGAAAATCTGATGAAGAAATAAAATTATCAACACAAAAGTAAAAAATACCACAATTACTTTTTTCCATACAAACGTTTTCTATTTGTTCCTTTTCTTATCATCCTGTCGAATTCAGATCCATATTTGATCCACATTTGATCCCAATTCATAGATAAATAATGAACAGGCGTAGATAGATGTGGACAGACTGAGATAGATAGATAGATAGATAGATAGATAGATAGATAGATAGAAAATGAACAAACATAGATAAATGTGGACAGACTGAGATAGATAGATAGATAGATAGATAGATAGATAGATAGATAGATAGATAGAAAATGAACAGGCATAGATAAATGTGGACAGACTGAGATAGATAGATAGATAGATAGATAGATAGATAGATAGATAGATAGATAGATAATGAACTGGCATAGATAGATGTGGACAGACTGAGATAGATAGATAGATAGATAGATAGATAGATAGATAGATAGATAGATAGATAGATAGATAATGAACAGGCATAGATAGATAGATAGATAGATAGATAGATAGACAGACAGATAATGAACTGGCATGGATAGATATGGACAGACTGAGATAGATAGATAGATAGATAGATAATCAACAGGCATAGATAGATAGATAGATAGATAGATAGATAGATAGATAGATAGATAGATAATGAACTGGCATGGATAGATGTGGACAGACTGAGATAGATAGATAGATAGATAGATAGATAGATAGATAGATAGATAGATAATGAACTGGCATGGATAGATGTGGACAGACTGAGATAGATAGATAGATAGATAGATAGATAGATAGATAGATAGATAGATAGATAATGAACAGGCATAGATAGATAGATAGATAGATAGATAGATAGATAGATAGATAGATAGATAGATAGATAATGAACAGGCATAGATAGATAGATAGATAGATAGATAGATAGATAGATAGATAGATAGATAGATAGATAATGAACTGGCATGGATAGATGTGGACAGACTGAGATAGATAGATAGATAGATAGATAGATAGATAGATAGATAGATAATGAACTGGCATAGATAGATGTGGACAGACATAGATAGATAGATAGATAGATAGATAGATAGATAATGAACGGATTTAGATGGATAGATAAATCATTATTTACACTTTTTCTGTTCGTCTTGGAATCAATTAATTTCTTGAAACTTTTATTAAAATGTTTTTCGCTCTAATTTGTTCAGTGACACATTCTACACACGCAGGAACAATGATTAAGTACAATTTCTTCTTGAAATTTGTAGCTTTTCCTTGAAGGTAACGTTGTCAGCATTTTTAACCATTGGCGATTTTCACTAAGGAAGATCGTAAATGCAAATATCTTTTGTTTCAAGAAACAGGAAACGCCAATGATAATTATTTTTGCAGCTATATAAGTCAAAATTCGCCTTCACCTCTGGCTTAGGGGTGGAATCTCCGACAGTTACCAAATCAGTGGGGTTTCGATTACGGCTTGGGGCGATCGGATGTCCAGCCACACTGATGAGCTTCGAAGCAGCTTTTTTTGTGTATGACTATATACATTGCTGTTCGATAAAAGTGACTCACCTGATTTTTTTTACTAAAAATATTTTTGTCTATTGTTTTGGGGGCTAAAATAATTTTTAATCTTACGAATGTAAATACCCCTTCCCGACCACCTAGGAAAAAAAGTTTATTCACCCTAAGGTATTCTATTGATAATTATAAATTTGGATATAAATGAGATTCAGGAAAAAACTCTGTCAAAAAAAAGTGACTCAGATATCGCATTCTAATGATTAAACTGGTAAATTTAAGGAGCTTTTGACAAAATATTGAAAACTATTTTATAATACACAAAGAACAATATTCTAGAGAATTCTAGAACACCTTAAATTAAATCTAGAGTATTCCAGAATATTCCAGAAAGCCTTATACAGTATAAAAACAGCTTGAAATAGCCACTCAAGTCACTAACCAGATGAAAGGGTACAAACTCACTTAAGGCATCTATTATTGCCCTCTCAAAAGCAGGCAAGTCTACGAGAGAAATTGCAAAAATTGCTATAACCTCGCAATCAACTGTCTCTCGTGTGCTTAAGGCAAATAATGATGCCACTCTTGCTCCAAGGAAGGAAACAAGGTGAAGAAAGAAAAAGATTGATGATAGAACTGGCAGGGTAAACAAGAGAGAAGTTGCAAAGAATAGGACTATAACTAGCCAAGAAATTGCAGCCAGTCTAAGCGAAGAGCAAGGTGTTAGTCTTGCCTCTTCAACAGTCCGTCAAAACAAGTTTACAAATCTTGTTAGAACAAGGCTACAAATCTTGTACACGAAGATTTAAGCCGCTAATAAGCAAAGTCAACAAAGCCAAGAGACTTGAATGGGCTCACTATTACAACAATTTCACCGTAGAAGAATGTTCTCTTCTCCGATGAAACGAAAGTTGAGCTAAATTCAAAGGATAAGCGATCTAAAATCCGAAGAAGAAGCTTTGAAAGCTCTTTGAATTTTAGCAGTAAGTACTGTCAAGCATCCGTTCAGTATAATGTTCTTTGGATGCTTTTCTTTTCATGGAACTGGTTTCTTAAAACCTATTGAGAAGACCCTCAGGAGCGAGCAGTACAAGAGAATTTTAGAGTCTTGCCTGCTCCCTTCTGTTGAAAGGGTGCAAATCGACCCCACCAAGCTCATTTTTATGCAGGATAATGCTCCCTGTGACAAATCAAAATTGATGAAGGAATACTTTGATGAGAAGCAGGTGAGTGTTATGAC